CTTGACCGGACCCGAACCTTACCAGACCTAGACCGACGATTGGGTCGCTCCATTCGGTTGCGTCTCCAGTGTGCAATGGGTATTTACTCATTTATATAATATTAACGAATTAATGTATCAGAAATTGTTGACGAATTGGAAGGTATTGAAATTTTTCCGCGTCAAAATGTGAAAATCTTGTTAACGAGCTGACAACACGATTTAATTTTAACGTAAAAATGTCTTAAAAAGTGCAGTGTGGGACTAAAACGGGTTCTTACTGACGAGGGAACCGCCCCAGGTGCCCAACTCTGATTTTCTTCATTCATACCTCGTTTTATAGAGCACATCGAGCTGACAAAAAGCCTAAAAGCATTTTTGCGCATGGCTGTTGAAGTCTCAGTTTTCTGCAAAACCAGTTTTTGAGAAATTCTAAAAAATAATCAAAACCTTTCATATTGGGGGTTAATTATAGCCTGTACATTTCTGATTAAAATGAGACGTCTCCCAGCTCTACACGACCTTTATTTACAAAGTTACAGAATTTACAAGCCCTAAATGTTCATTGTCAGCTCAAAGCTGTAGAAATAAGAAGAAATTAATTTAGGACTTTTCTTGTAAATTCTATAACTTTGCAAAGAAACATCACGTAGAGCTGGAAGACGTCTCATTTTAATCAGAAATATGCGGGCTACAATTATGCCTCATTATGAAACGTTTTGATTATTTTTTAGAATTTCTCAAAAACTGGTTTTGCAGAAAACCAAGACTTCAAGAGCCATGGGCAAAAATCCTTTTAGGCTTTTTACCAGCTCGATGTGCTCTATAAAACGAGGTATGAATGAAGGAAATCAGAGTTAAGCAACTGGGGTGTTTCCCTCGTGAGATTAATACTGCTCATTAATGCAAGAATTTTCTCATTTACTTCTCGTAAGTAAATGTACACGTCCGCCTTCTTTCCCAAAATCGTGGAAAGAGTTATTGCACACGCTAGGTCACTTAAGTGTAGTAAAAATTCAGTATGCTCTTGTTGTTCTAATTTATTTAATACTGTTTCAAAGATATACTCAGTCAACGTCTGTTTCTCACATGGAATTTCGACTGTTTGAGTGAAAACCCATTTATAATTAATTCGATTGTGTTAACCGATCCGTCTCTGAAGACAGTGAAGAGATATTCGAACTAGAGAAGTGACAACTAAAACTCGTTTTCTAACCGTCATTTTCCGGAATAAATCTTGTTTTCCTATGATGGAAAAAAAAATGGTTCGTAAATTTATTGTACCTAATGACATGTGTTTGGAACCACTTTGTTGAGAGTGAAAAAAAATCTTGAATTAGAATGTAAAGTGGCTGTCTGTTTCAAAGCTGGGAAAGCAGCAGGAAATAAAACATTTGTGCCGACATGATTAGAAAACATATCCTTGCATGATCTTCGATTATTACTGTCACCATACACATGAATTCAGCTGTACACGTAAGTTGTAATTCTATTACATCATCCGTGTTGTGAAATATATCTGTGTCATTTATTTCATCTAGAGACACTGATTTGTGAATGCTCACATTTTTCACTTGTAATTCATAGAACGTTGGATTTTCTCCAGTAATTAAACATCCAACTTCACATATATGGTCACATGTTAAACTTTTTGCACCACTAAATCGAATGAGTATATTTCTGTCTTTGACTAGTGTAACAGGAATAGGAAAATTGTTAACATCATCAGTCTGAAATGCAATCGACGTTGAATTTAACAATAATATCGTAGAAAGCTTTGTTTCGTAAAATAGTGCAAAATCATGTAGATATATGAAATATAGTTGAGATGACACACCAAAAACTTGCCGTATATTTGCTATTGTTACTAAACAAGAAAATCGTTTAACATCGTCGTCGATATCAATTAATTTTTCATTATTTTTGATCGTTATTGTATACGTTTGATTTTCATTAAGAAATAAATAATTATTTTCATTCATATTTGACAAGTACATGGTATCATCTATTACATTCATTGAATTTTTAACCAAACAAAAATTTTCACTCTCATCTAAGTTCAATCGATGCCAAATATTTTTAACAATATCAGCAACTGACGTATCCCTTCGTTCAACAGGAATTTGCATCCGATTTTATAATAGTTATTACAGAACACAGTTGAAATGTAACATCAGGATCATCAGAGCGCTTGTTAACAGACGAGTTAGATAACGGTTGTTTTAAATCAGATATAATAGCTTCGCTTATAATAAATACCATATCATCTCCACTTCTATTTAGACTTTTGACGACATCATGCAAACATACATGCTGTTGTCGATGTACTAATTGTAATTGATTCAGATTCAGATTTAAAATTTACTTTTATTATGTCGTCGGTTCTTATTCCACAAATAGATACACTTTCACGATTATCATTTGAGACACACATGGATGATGATAGAGTGTCATTATTGTCAAAAATAGAATTTTTTATATTATGCCAAAATCGAAAATTAGTTGTTGTTATTTGTAAAATTGAAAATGTTTTTAGACAATCATGTAGTTGCTGCCATTTTGATGTTGGTATAAAGACTTTACCTGTTAGCTCAGGAATATATGGTTTGACAATGCTCATTTGACATAAATATTTTTGTCCTCTATTCAATGAACATTGTCAGCTTTTCTAATAATGTCTTGCATTGGTCCGCAGTTTATACATTGATCATGTTCATCGGTCATACAAATATCATCATCGTTATTAAACTGTATTAATGGAAACTCCTTGAACATTCTGAATAATATAATTTCAATAGTTGTATCATTTTTTGTATAATAAACCATGTCTTCATTATCGAAATGAATATGAATACTAGTAAGGTATTATTTTTCAATTACTTGACAAATTAATGTAAAACAATTTTGTTGCTTTTTATCCATATAATCAATCGTTATCCTAAATGAATCAGTTAAAGCTTGTTTAGTATAATTATTTTTTAAAAATAGCTGTTTGTATACGTTCATTAAATTTATCTACTTTACATAGTACACTTTCTCTAGCTGATTATTCGGAAGTTGTATTACATATTTTTGAGGTTTCAACAAATTAGGCTGTATTGTTTTACTCAATAAAATTGATAATCATTTTATTTTATTTGTAAGTTGATTCGATGAAATATCTATTGTCTTTAATTGAATTTCAAATTGCGAATCTTTAATAGTGGTAGTCAATGAATCGGAATAATCTACATTGCTTTCTTTAGTCGGTAGTTCATGAACATTTTCTTGTTGTTATTGTTGCTGTAATTCTTCAGATTCTATAATAATTAATAAATGGTCATTGTCTTTCGTATAATCTTCTTGATCTGCAGCTTCTTTTTCCTCATCTTCGAGTTTTTCGAATCGAGTTTTGCGGGTTATACTATTTTCTTCATCATTTCAAATAAGTTTTTGCATTAATTGGGTGTGTAATTGTATAAAAAGGACACATATAGCCATATAATTTTCACATTTAATATCATCTGTTAAAAATACTAATAATGGATTGTCTATACAAAGTGAATTACACACAGTTATTAACGATAATGATGATTGTTGAAAGGGATGGTATTCAGTTTGTTTTAAATCATTATGTAAATTTGTTATTGTTAATATGGTTGTTTTTATATCTTCCATCATAATTGTTTCAAGTATTTTCTCTAAATTATCTTTCGAAACATCTTCTATAGGTACACGTAATTGATCATGTGTATCAATAAATAAATGTTCGTATCTTTTAATACGATTTTCAAATAATTGACGAATATATTCACTATAACATAGGTGACATTTTTGTATTTCACATTGATACATTATATCTAACATATTTATATCTTCTCCTCCATATTTTAAACTAAATGTATAAATTGGCATTAATGATAATTCTTTTTGTTTTTCTATTTTTATCATATCACGTTTTAATTCATCTTTGATCACTAATGTTATTTGTCTTAAAATACATATTCCATCATAGAGTTTATCAAGTATCATATTATTTAAATAATTTATATTTTCTTCGAACTGTTCATTATCTAATATATTTAAAAATAAATCATTGTCAATTGAATACACTTTATTATCATTTAAATTTTGCTTTCTTTCAATATTAAATATATATTGATGATGAATATCATGATAATTAATTTTAATATGACCAAGTAAATAACATCGTATAAAATATGATTGTATATAATTAAAATCAAAATTTAATTGTCCATTATGAGAATGAAATAATGATGCCATTGATATTTGTTCATTTTGTTCACATTCACAATCATCTAAATAAATTGTTCCTGTAAACATTTTACTACTAGCTAATTGTGAAATGGCTATTGTTTGTTTATTAAATGTATCTAATAAATTTGTAATTATACAATTATGTTCAAATATATCATTTAACCATCGCATAATATGTCAAATTTAGGTTTGCCTAGTGCACGCGCTGACCATAACAACTCTGTGTTTTTATAGTTAATAGGTTGTATAGCTAGGTTTGCATAGAATTCTAGTTGCTGAAAGAAGTCAGTAACCCTTTTTTCTAGATCAATACATTGTGCAGTGAATTTCACGCCTATCATACCAGCTACAA